TTTTTTTAAAGAGACAAGGTCTTGGCCAGATGTAGTGGCTCACGCCTATAATCCCAGCACTTTGGGAGGCTGAGGCGAGAGGATTATCTGAGCCCAGGGGTTATAGACCAGCCTGGGCAACTTGGTGAGACCTCATCTCTACAATAAATCAAGAAGAATTAGCTAGACATGGTGGCACGTGCCTGTAGTTCCAGCTACTTGGAAGGCTGAGGCAGAAGGATCACCTGACCCCAACAGGTTGAGGCTGTGGTGACCCTGACTAACGAGCCACTGCACTCCAGCCTCTTAAAAAAAAAAAATAGAGACAAGGTCTGTTTCACCCAGGCTAGAGTATACTGGGGCAATCTTGGCTCACTGCAGCCTTGACCTCCTAACCTCAGGCGATCCTTCCACCTCAGCCTCCTGAGTAACTAGGACTACAGGTGCTTACCATCATACCTGGCTAATTATTCAATTTAGTTTTTGTAGAGACAGAGTCTCTCTATGTGTTGCCCAGGCTGATTTCAAAGAGATTCTCCTGCCTTGGTCTCCCAAAGCACTGGGATTACAGGCATGAGCCACCGTACCCGGCCCAAGTTTCTTGGTACCAAAACATAAGGGTTAAGAAAGAGGTTCAGACCGGGCGCAGTGGCTCACACCTACAATCCCAGCATTTTGGGAGGCCGAGGTGAGAGGATTGCCTAAGCTCAGAGTTTCAAGACCAGCCGGGGCAACTTGGTGAGCCCTCATCTCTACAATAAATCAAAAAATTAGCTGGGCATGGTGGCATGCACCTGTAATGCCAGCTACTTGGAAGGCTGAGGGGAAGGATCACCTGAGCCCAGCACATCGAGGCTGCAGTGGCCGTGAGCATGCCACTGCACTCCAACCTGGGCGACAGAGTAAGACTCCAACTAAAAAAAAGAAAGAGTTATTTGAGTTCTGTCACAAGCTGTGTGACTTTGGACAAGTTGCTTAATTTTTTTGAGCTGCAAATTCCCTATCTATGAAATGGGAATAATATTAGTATTCATATCATTGGCCTAATATGAAGAGTAAATGAATTAATCCTCAGGGCCTGGCACATAGTAAGTGCTATTTAATTTTTTTTTTTTTTTTTGAGTTGGAGTCTCACTCTGTTGCCCAGGCTGGAGTGCAGTAGCACACTCACTGCCACCGCAGCCTTGACTTGCTGGGCTCAGGCAGTTCTTCTGCCTCAGCCTTCCAAGTAGCTGAAACTACAGACTTGTGCCACCACACCCGACTAATTTTTTGATTTATTGTAGTGACAGATCTCGCAAGTTGTCCAGGCTGGTCTCAAACCCCCGGGCTCAGGCAATCCTCTTGCCTCAGCCTCCCAAAGTGCTGGAATCACAGCTGTGAGCCACTGCACCCAGCTAACTGTTTATCAAACATAGACACAGGCTCAGGCAGCTCATTCCTTCTCACAGCTTCACCTCAGACAGGGAGGTCATAGCCACTGCTTAGGCTACCCTACCTCTCGAGGATGTGCTTGCTATGTGTGCATTGCAGTGAGAGGGTATAGTCTCCTGGTGTGAATCCCTCCAGTTATTTTGAAAGCCCACTAGAATTGTTAGCACCACCCTCCTACGCCTTCTCAAAAGGAGGATTGCCCTAGGTAGAGGACTGATTTTATCTGCTCCTTCATGATCCTATGGATTCAGCTTCACAGGGTGACATTTTTTTGGTATTGTCACTAGACTAGTGTTGGGGAAGGGGCACTGTCACCTCCATGGAAGGAACCTCACATATAAAAATTGGAAAAGCCTGGGCGCAGTGGCTCACGTCTGTAGTCCCAACACTTTTGAAGCCAAGGTGAGAGGATTGCTTGACCCTGGGCAACATAGTGAGACCTGGTCTCTATAAAAAATAAAAAAATTAGCCAGGCATGGTGGCATGCATCTGTAGTGTCAGCTACTTGGGAAGCTGAGGTGGAAGGATCGCCTGAGCCTGGAAGGTTGAGGCTGCTGAGCCGTGGTCCTGCCACTGCACTACAGCCTGGGAGACAGATTGAGACCCTGACTCAAAAAAAAAAAAAGTGAAAAACCCAGATGTTAGAGGAGGTGCCACAAAGCAATGTTATGGTTCATTGCCTCAGAACCATTGCAGGATTGTGAGAAGATAACACAAACCTCCCCAAGCATTCATTTCTTTGTCAAATATTTGAGCACCTGCTGAGTGCCAGGAAATGTGCTAGATTCTCAGGAAAACCCAATTAACAAAACCACAAGGCTCAAACCTGTAATCCCAGCATTTTAGGAGGCCGAGGTGAGAGAATTGCCTGAGCTCAGGGATTCAAGACCAGCTTGGGCAACTTGGTGAGACCTCATCTCTACAATAAATCAAAAAATAAGCCAGGCATGGTAGCAGGCGCCTGTAGTTCCAGCTACTTGGAAGGCTGAGGCAGAAGGATCGCCTGATCCCAGCAAATTGAGGCTTCGGTGGCGAGAGTGTGCCACTGCATTCCAGCCTGGGCAACAGAGTGAGACTCCGACTCAGAAAAACACAAAACCCCCCACAGATTTCTGCCTTTTCTGATCTTAGCCTGAACACAAAAGTGTTGATGTAACCATACAATGAAAAATGTCTGGAAAGAAAAATCCTAGGTGCCATGAAAATGTGTAGTGGGTGAACCTGGTTGAACAGGTCACAAAAGCCTCTGTGGAAGGGCAGATAATCTGATTCCTATAAGATTAGCCATGAGAGAAGAGCTGGGCAGGGGTGTGGGGGGTTGGGAGTGGGGAAAATGCCCCAGGAAGAGGCAGCATTGAGAAGGCTTTGAAGGAGGAGAAGCCTTGGCACTGTCGAGAAGATGAGAAAAGCCGAAAGGGCAGGAGCATAATGAGTGGGGGCAAGAGGTCTGTGATGAAGGCACTGTGATTGGCAGGAGCCAGATCGTGCAGGGTCTTGAAGATGTAGGAGCTACATTAACCGTGGTTGCCGTGATGACAATGATGCTGAAGATGGTGATGAATTTGTAACACCCAGCCAGGTTCTAAACTAAATGCGGAATACATGCTAATTGCTTCTCACCACCTTCTGGGTTTGAAAATGTTTGGGGTGTTTGGGGAAAAGAAGGAAGTTCCTAATGTTTGCAGTACATGAGACCTGGCAAGGTCAAACCAGGGCTAGACTATGAAAAGCTTCAAAACTGGGCACAGTGGCTCTTGTCTGTAATCCCAGCTATTTGGGAGGCTGAAGCGGGAGGATTGCTTGAGCCCCAGAGTTCTAGACCAGCCTGAGCAACATGGCAAAACTTAGTGTCTTAAGAAAATGTGCTTTTGCCAGGCTCGGTGGCTCAGCCTGTAATCCCGTGCCTTTGGGAGGCTGAAGTGAGTGGA